GCACAACACAGCATAAATCAGACAGAGACACTCTGCACAGGGGCGAGTGACCCAGCAGCTCGGAGCAGGGAGGCAGGCAAACTGCTGATTTTAAACAGTTGCATTTTTACTCGGGGTAACCCCATTGGTAACTCCTGCAGGCAGCAGCTCCGGGTGCCGCGGCTTGACCCTCCGCCCAGGCTGTCTTTGACCCTTAGCATCTACTGCCACTTGGGTGACGGGGATGTGCTTGATTTAGAAATCCCACGGTATCACCGAGCTGCTCGTGCTGGGTTCTCGTTTCTCAGGATTTAGATACGGTGGTTTCCTTTGAAAAGGTCTCAGAAATGGTCAGGCGTGGTTTAAACGGCAAGAGCAAATAGGAGCCAAAAGATGCAACGCAAGGTTTATCTCTTCCTCTGTTTGCCGACCCGGGACGGCAACGTGCTCCAAGCCAGCCAGAGCCAGCAATGGCAAGAAGCAGCTCTGCTAATAGCCTCGTTAGTCTCACCGAGATGCTGAGGCTTTGGCTTCCAGCAGATAATTAACGATGTGCTCATGAATTAGGAAGCCCTGGACCTCTACCAGGGCCTATGTGGAGGCAACCGAGCTGCTCTTGGTTCAGAGCTGGAGCAAAGCAATGCCTCGAGGAGCTGCCCGGAGCGATGGGGACAGCCAATGGGGACTGGCTCTTGGGGCTGGGAGAAGTGATATCCAGCCCCATGCGGATGCAACAGCCCCCTAACGCTGGAGCTGCCCCACCAGTGAGGAAGGCACATGTAAAAAGTCCTAGTAAGGCCCCACGGTGCCTCATTTGAATACAATTTACTGTTGCTAATGATGCTGATGGTTATTTCCCCAAGCTAGGAAGTGTTTGGCCCCGAAATGGGCTCCTGGAAGCAATTTCAGATGAGCAATCTGTAATACCGGAGCTGATGGAAGCAATTTGCAACCCATTAGGCAGGGATCGGCTGTGAAGATATTTTACACGTCACTCAGCACACCTTCGAGGGGGGCTTGAATTTTGCCCACTCTCCCCTGGAATTTCTGGCGTGGATGGGATGGGGTGGCAGGAAGGGCTGCGAGGCTGGACACCGCACCAGCTTTGCAAAACCCACCGACATCAAGGGTTAGAGCAACACCAGGCACACAGCGCAGGGCAAACAACGGCACCATCCTCCCAACGAGCAGCTGAACACCAAAGCACTGCCTCCGCGGCCCCGGCTGCGAGCAGAAAGGGCTTTGTGGCATGTCACATCGGTGGCCTTTCAATTAAAACTCACCTTAAATACACGATGCAATCCTGGAGGTTGCAGGGCCAGTCACCCCCAGAGCCATCACACCCTGGAAAGAGAAGCAGCAGTGCCCGGCACCTCCAGCGCCCACAGTACTTGATAGACCATTATGAATTAAATTGCCTCCTGTACAGCAGCTGGGCGGCGGGTGCAGATAAAGAAGCAATTTGCAAGCCAGGGCTGCCTTGACGGAGGGAGCGATAACAGGGCATAACCCCCAAAAAAGCATAGAAAAGCATCTCTTACCCGTCCTTGCAAACCCATCCTTGCCCTGGGGATGCTCTTGCCCTGTGGATGCTCTTCCAAGAAGCAGGTTGGAAGTTTGTTCTCGTAACAAAGGTGTGCGTGGTGGAACAGAGACAAACATTGCTCAGAAGGCAAGAAAAATAGTCCCGGGGCTTGAGTTATCCTTTGGCCCAAGCTCCCGAGGTGTTCCCAAGACACTGCCTGTCTGCTGAAGCCTGCGCTGGGAGCCTCAGCACTGCAGCACCTTCCCTTAATTACTTTTTCATGCTAATTGGATCTGTGGGCATGCCTGAGGGGAGCCCTGGCTACTGGATCCGAGCTGGGACTGAGCACCCATTTTGCACAGGAAGGATATGGCCACAGCAGCTCACCTCCTCTTCTTCACACCCCACTGCCCATCACTCTCAGGTCCCAGTCCACCCCTTGGCTACCGGCCTTTAAGCCTTTGTGCCTGGTGCCTTGCTGTTACCAATTATCATCTGGGGCTAATTGTTAGCTCCTCAGCCATCCCACAGCCCTCAGCTGGTCCCGCTGCCTCTCTCGGCAGGAATTAACACAACCCTCACGTGGCTCCCCCGAAAAATAACGCGGAAATGCTCGCGCTCCCCATGCTCCACTCGACTCCAAGGATGCAGCTGCATCCTTCCTGGCCGGGGGCCAGCGGTGAGGAAGTTTCCTCCGACCGCTCGCCTCCTCACCGGCTCCTACAGGAAAGGGTTCCGGGGCGTTCGGGAGGCCCCGCCGGCCCCACCAGGCCCCCAGGAAACGCGCTTTCCAGCCAGGGTGGCTTGGAGATGCAGAGCCTCTTCACTGGGGTTTTCCACTGGGTGGAAAGCAAGGGCTTGCAAGTACGTCCACGTGCGCATCTGCTCTGGCCTGAAACCCCATCCCTCCCTGCATGCAGCCCTGCCGCTGCTGGTGGATTTACTGTCAATAAAACCACTGCAGAGAATGACTTGTCATCTTGAAGAAAAAAAAGGAGGGGGGGGGAACAACAACCCCTTTTTAAATGTTCTTATCCCTTATCCAAGCAGCACATCCTTCTCCGGGCTTCTATCAGGAGCCCTAATGGAGAGACGGCTATCAGCAGGCAGTTGTCGTCCAGGCAAGGAGCAATGCCGACTCGCTGCAGAATGGAGTGGGGAAGGGAAAGGCAGAGCTGGTGCCAACTGGAAACGCTAACGCCGTTCTCCCGGCCTTGCAGCCGCGTTTCCAAGCACTGGCAGGGTCGTCCCTGCGCCCAGCGGTGAGCAAGGCAGGGCACTGGCTCATGGGGGTGTCCCTGAGCCCCATCTCTGTCCCCCCCAGATGTCCCTGAGCAGGTCCCACTGCAAAACTCTGGGTTCCTGCTCAGGCAAGGACCCAGTTTGGGAGAGGATGCTCCAGAAAAGGACCAAACCAAGTGTGTCCAAGACACAGGATTTGGGAAAGGGTACGCACGCCTGACCCTGCTGTACCCCAGACTGCCCATGCTCCCATTAGCCGCAGTTCAGGCAGGGACGGCGTGCTGGGAAGGCGCCTTTGGGCAGGGACACAACTTGTCGGGACGACCCTGAGGTCTGGCTGTCCCTTTCCAACATCACACTTGTAAAGGACATTGAAACATATTTTCCATTTGACTGCAGTCACCTTACTGGGAGCAGTGGGCAGGCGCCTGCTGCAGCCTCTGCTCCCTGTGCTGCTGCTGGGCAGAGGTCTGCAGCGGGGTGTGCGTCCCTCAGCTCGGCTCGGGTGATGAGGGCACCCCGCTCTCCAGGGCAGTCATGGGGATCAGATGGAGGAGAGGCAGGGTTGGAGATCCAGTGGTGCTGGGGGGAAGCTGGGCAGCACTATGCAACCCTCTTGCTCTGCCCTGGGAGGAGGAGAGCACCCAGCACCCAGTGCCTTCCGCCCTGGGGAGCGGGGAGCACCCTGGGGACAACGGCACCTTTCTGATTACTCTGTAAATGGCAGAAGGCGAATAGCTGGGAAAGGGGCAGCACGTCTTGCACGGGGCAGGGGCAGGAGCCCAGCGCCTCTGGCAGGGTCTTGTCCCCATCGCAGCAAGCATCGTGCTGGGGACCATGCCGGCAGGCAGCGAGGAGCGGGGCTGCACCCGGCAAGCCCGGGACAGATGCTCGAGGCACTGTGGTGCCCTGCTGCTGCCCCAGGCAGGCGGCCGGAAAGGGCTGGAAGGCGCCCGCCTTCAGTCCTCCCGAAAAGGACCAACCCAAGCATGCCCAAGCACCCACCCCGGTGCTGGGGCTGCCCGTGGGTGAAGCCTGCGAGGGCAGTGGAGGCCGTGGCAGGGAGAGCCGGGTCAGGGCTGCATAGGGGGGCCGGGGGGGCTCCGGCAGAGCGAGAAGCCGGAGCATCGCTGGCAGGCGGTGGGGGATGGGTGCGGCAAACGCACGCCACA